AACTGGTAGATTCTGGCAAAAAATTCAATAGTAATAATGTCTTGTCTTCCTCATTAATTATAACATCAAGATTGAGCAAATCAGTGATGATTTTGTTAAAATCATCCAAATGCTCGACCATTGGGATACCTTTCTTATAATCAAAACAGAAGAGTTTCTTCTTCACATATAGTCTATTTTTCACACTCTTCTGCATATAGTTCGCCTCAAGCTTGTCCCATAGTTCTTTCACCATGGTCACCTTCATAAATGGATATTTATGATCCTTATCCAGACAAGATCGAATAATTTCACAAGCTTGTCGATTTAATTTCTTTCATTCGGCATCTGTCATGTCTTCACGCATCTCCTCTCAGAGAGAAGCATCAAGATCTTGCATGACCAACAAATTGCTAACTTTGCCTTGCCAAACACTAAAATTATTGGTTCCATCAAATTTCTCTACTTCGAGATTATAACTCAAAATTCTTGATCCACGTCGTGATTTAATTCCAGATGGCTCTGCCATTTGTAATAAGTAATCTGGATGAAGGTAGAAAAACACAATTCTTGAAAATTGATTTTCAAGAAAAATAAGCACGATTGTGAGCACGTCTAGTAGTCGATGAGGTCAAAACTTTCACAATACCCCAAATACCACAATCAGGCTCTGATACCACTGGTTGTGCGTCAAATGCTACAACCACAAAAATATGATACCGATTATTGTAGCGAAAACGGAACGAATGTACTCATAACCACAATGAACGGAATTACACAAAGAGACACCAAGATATTTACATGGTTCGGAGAGAAGAAATTTTCCTACATTCACGAGTAGCAAACAATCACTAATAATCAAAGTGTTACAAGTAAATACCTCACTCTTACACTAAAAAAGACTCTCACCAAAATGTCACTTAAGAAATGAATTCCGATATCAAATTCCTATATCAACAACCTCCTAGACAATCCCATTATATAGGGACAATTGTTTGAATCATCAAAAGTTATGGAATTAAATAAAGATTAATATTAAAATGGTGGCAAGATTTATAACCAAATTAATAATACTCTTATTTAATCAATGTTATAAATTGATGAGAATTAATAACTAAATTAAATAAAAAAAACGTATGACAATTTACAATTTCCACCTTGTCACAAGATCTCCAAGTCCATAACTCATTTGGTTGCCACCACTCCAAGCCTTATTATTACCTATACCAAAAAGAATCTTCCCTTTTTGCAAAAACCAATTTACAATACTTGTTACTCTTAAGATGCAAAACCCTGATGATCTTAACACATCGGTTTGCTTTTTAGAATTCCAAGAAATAGTTAAATTTATCAAGAAGATACAAAATCCAGCAATAGAATGCAATGATTTACTCCAGGATTGGTAATTTGTCTCATTTAATTTGATTGAAACAAAGTGAATATCCTTCGATCACTTCTTGGTCCGTGCATAAATGTTATTCAGGTTGAGATTAGGAGGGTGACCAAATATTGATTATGCTCAACCAAAGACAATGGCTATAGAGATATTGATTGTGCTCAATCAGTAACAATGGCTATAGAGACTAGAAATTAAAACTTTTTAGATGTGAGGTTAAAATGATTATACATCTGTGGAAAGTGATCCCAATTCATCTATCGTCTTCTGTTCTAATCTCTATCACTTTTCTTCTGTTCTTCTTCTCCTTCTTCTTACTACAATGTTAAGATTCTAATCTTTATCACTTTTCTTCTGTTCTTCTTTGCTTTGATACAATGTTAAGAATGAGAAGCTCTGATTGATACCAAGTTAAGAATGAGAAATAAGAGTGGGATCCAAAGTCATTAAGTGAGATAGAAAGTCCAATTTAAATACAAACTACCAACTAAATTCTAAAAACAAGAGAAAATATTCTACTATCCAAATCCTTAAAGTATGATAAAATATATCAAATATACTTTTAACTTAATCCTAAAATTAAGGAAAAATCCTAAATTATAGAATTCATTTGGTAAATCAAGAAATTCTTCCTCTTACATACTCTCATTAGATGAAATCAAATTCTTTACAAATATTTATAAGGAACTATCTAGAGACAGTTACTGAATCTAGCTCACAAAATCAAGTTTTAGGCTATCAGAGTCAGAGTTGCATACGTGTTCTCCATTGTATAGGTAGAAGACAATGACTTGGTTGTCCTTTGTATTGAATGATTTTTTTTTTTCTTGAACAACATTTTATTTTCACTTAAAGTTAGTCATCTTTTAGATAGATTCTTATAGACTTATTTGATAGTTAGTGAAATCATAGTTCATTAAAGGGACCTTGAGAAATTGTACGCATTTTAAGAATTGACTCCTGGACATGAAAGAATATGTAAGTAGCCTTACCCAGCTTTTCTCAAGCAATACATGTAGGGCAATACATGTAGGGAATAATCTTGAAAGGTTAAGCTTGACATTGTAACAATCGAGCCCCCACAAGAAATTAAATACATGATTTTTTCTTAAGTTAAACTTCTTCCTTTTGATTAAGGATCTTAGATGTCAAATTTTGAGGTAGAAGAAAAAAATGATTAAAAAAAAAAAACTCACCAGCTTAAGAAAAATATTTTAAATAGTAAAAATTTTGAAAAATCTGTCAAAGTAACTAGTAATTAGGGGTCTTGTAAGCAAGAAAAATGAAAAGGAAGAGAGGGGGAGTTTAGGATTCTTGAGAGAAGATCAAAATTTGCTCTAAGACTGTAGTTTTGAGTTTGAATTTCACTTGAGTTTGTTTATAAGAAATGCTCAAGGGCGTTCGAAAAACTATTCTAGACTTTTGATTTGTTCTTAGATATTGCGATTATCTCGACATTCTCTAGAAAGAATTAAGAGAGGAGTACTGCTTTTAACCTCTTCCAAGTGTCCACAGTGTATCGACCATCTTGAATGTTCGCGTACTTGGCGCTCCACCACAACTTTGCATCGTCAGCTAGATGCATTGTTGCCAATATAACCTTTGCTTCTTCTGTCACGATATTTGTGGCTTGAAAGTATTGTTCGAGGTTGAAAATAAGTTTCTCTAAATCCTTGGCATCTCAAACCCCACAAAAGGCTTTAGGCTCTCGTATCTTTATCTTATTAAATTGTACTACATATCTATTTGGGGTTTGGTTCCCCTCCATTCTTATGGTGAGGTTTAATTCAGCGCTTAGATCAGCCACTTTAGCCCTGACAATTCCAAGGGTAAGGGCTACTCTCAAATCCTCAAACATTTCTAAGACCATCTGAATGGTCGCTTTTTAGACATTGTCTAAGCCCTCTACGTGTTCTTCCATTCATACAACAGAGCCCGAGCCCGTCTAACTATCTCTATGCTCGAAGCCACTAGAAGTTATGACCTTGTCTTCTAGGGCCTCGGCCCTAATCATTAATTCGTGCATTGCCTTAGGATGGCCTGCCATCTCGTCGTTCCTGTCGGCTTTAGCGACAATCTCGTTCATGCAAGATCTCAAAAGCCCCATTCTATCAAGAACTTGACTCATGCGGAGCAATGGATCATTATTAATTGATGATAAAACTAGTCCATCCCGTTAGTTTAGAGCAAACAACCAAAATCCAAAGGGAGAAAGTGTAAAGGTAGAAAGTGAGGTGAGGAATGAAATAAAAGAGAGAATCGAGTATTTTGACAAATAGAGTGCTCAGTATTTACATGAAGAACAATGGAAAAAATCTAAAACGCTTATTGTTAACTATAACTATGACTAAAAAAAATTTACTTCGATTCTCTTATAATATTATCATATAATTTAAATACAAGTTTACGTGTTCGTATCAATTTAACTATTGAGTTTAAATATTTTCATCTCACCTTTTTTACATATTTATCTTCTTGTGTATCTGTTACATTGCACAATATTATTAACAGACTATATGGTATGACGTTAAAAAATAAATCGACTATATGGTATGACTTAAAAAATAAAAAAAAGATTTATTTTAAGTAGAGAACCGATGAAAGAAAAATGTAGGTGAAGAAAAAAGTATAGAGAACAACGTAGAAAGCACATACCAAAACTGCAAACATCTTTTGATTTATTCAACCAACTAAATCTCGATCACAAAGGGACAACCAAAGCACACAGATATATGGAAAAGTTTATGTGTATAAGAACACTCCTAAAACTTCCCTACTCAATTTGCTTTAATTGTTTTCTTATCCTTTACACCATCTTTTTCTTTATTCTGTCATTTTTCGACCTCTTTTCGCTGCAACAAGAAACTTTTACCTTTGATTTTTTCTCCTTTGCTTAATTAAAGTTACCCTACTAAATTAAACAATGACCAATCCTATTTGAATCAGATGTGAATTAAATGTGAATTAAACACACAACCTTTCGATTGGGAGTCAAACAAACTATCTTTTAATATTATATTCTTTTGAACTCACAAATTCGTAAATGTACTAATCAATACCCAAAACTTTTGGTCCTAAAAACTATTGTCATAGAAATAACTTACCTCAATGTCGTTTTTCATCTTTCCATTAGAATAACTTACCTCAATGTCGTTTTTCATCTTTCCATTAGAATAACTTACCTCAATGTCGTTTTTCATCTTTCCATTAGAATAACTTACCTCAATGTCGTTTTTCATCTTTCCATTAGAATTGGTATTTTAGTGGTTAATTTTTTAAACTTTAGTACTACCAATCTTTATGGTTGACTTCAATCCTCGAATAATCTACCTCATTTATGTTTCTACTGTAGTAAGTCAAGAAACATGTATATAATTTTTAATGATAGAATAGAAAATTAAATATGAGAAAAAAAATGTAGGAAAATCATTCCATTTATGAAAAAATATATAGAAATAATGAATTTGTCTACAATAATGATTCAGTTTGGCATAAATTTTACTTTGTAATTAGCCAAAAAAAGAAAAAAAAAACCTTCATGCCCCGCAATGCTACTCTCACGCTTGCGTGCTACTTCCAATTGGTGTAATGGTTGGGGTTTTAGCAATAGTTCCAACTGGTGCACCCTCCGGAGTTAGAGCAATGCTACCAACCGATTTACCCTCCGGGGTTAGAGCCTCCGGAGTTTGAGCAATGCTTCCAATCGATTTACCCTCCAGGATTAGAGCCTCCGGAGTTTGAGCAATGCTTCCAACTGGTGCATCCACTAGGACTTCTGTACTACTTCCAATTGGTGCAACTGTTGGGGCTTGTGTTTCATGTGATCCAAGAGCATGAAATGAAAATTGATGATCGAGATTCACATCACCGGTGACATCGCCAAAAGTGGCACCCACTTTCACACAACATTGCAAAGCAATAACTAAGAAAAGGGTGTGAAAGAGATTGAAACCTTTGCCCATGGTCATTGTGGAGTGTCTTCAAGTTGTAAGGTTACAAGCTCGTTTCAAAAAGGATGAAGAGTAGTAATAGCAAAGGTGTGAGTGAATGTGAAGCTCTATATATAGTTTTATGGAAAAACTATATTGAGAAAAGACCACCAAATTTAGAGAGGTTCTTATATTTTGTGGGTTTCATAGTATTCCAAATATAGAATGTTTGACTACTCCATTTCTAATGTCTCAAAGTATAAATTTGGTCTATGAAATTGTGAGGTAAGTTAATGTTATTCAATTTTCAAGTCTAAAAATTACTCTTTAGATTTACATTTGATTTTATTTTGATTACTTCATTAATTTTTCCATTAATTCACCTATCAAGAAGAGAATATGGTAAATATTGTAAGACTACTTTTTTTCATGTCGAAATGATCAAAGAAATCAAAGAAATTAAATGTAAAAATAAAAAAATAAAATAAAAATATATTAGTGCTATAGCAACAACTTGAGATCAAATGGGGAAGGAAAAAATTGGTAATCAAAAAGTTCTAAAATTTCTCAGTAGTATATCAAGAAAGTTTGAGTGTATGGTTGTTACAAGTGATGAATATGAACACTTATCTATACTCATGATGAGTTTTTTCAATCCTATAAACTTAGATTAAATCAACATGATGTTACTCGTTGCTTTAATACCATGTTAACAATGAGAAATAGAAGTGGGATCAAAAAGTCCAAAAGGGGGATTGAAAGTCCAATTTTCATTAACGTTCACAAAGTTTAAATAGAATACAAACTACAAACTAAATCATAAAAATAAAGAAAATATTCTACTATCCAAATCCTCAAAAACAAGATTATATAAAATATACTATTAACCAGATCCTAAAAATAAAGAAAAATCGTGATTACAGCTATATAAAATATATTCTAATACTCTCCCTCAAGTTCAAGAGTGTAGGTCAATAACAACATCCAATTTGTGTTTACGCATAGGTTAATAACGTTGAATTCAACTTAAAATGATAAAGGTTAATTTTAGATAATTTGTTAGGAGAGGTTAATTTGAAAAGTAAGTGGTGTCTTTCATCCCTATTATTATTATTAGTGCTAGAAAAGTTATAAATAACCAGTAAAGTTAGAGCAGAAATACAGACCAGTAAAAAAGGTTTTTTTTTTATAAAATCAATGTTCTTTGTCTCTTTGTCTCTCCTCTCTCGACATCTCCTTCACAAATACGCGAGTAGTATTTTCACACAGTTCTTTGTCTCCTTTTCTCTCCTCTCTCGACATCTCCTTCACAAATACGCGAGTAGTATTTTCACACAGTGGTATCGGAGCATTCTATCGTTAGTGTGTGTGAGATTTACCTCACAGTGAGTCTTATTTTAAGAAATTGGTATTACAGTGAGCTTTTATTTCTACAAATTGGCGTCAGAGCCGATGGCGAATATGATGGGTCAACTGTCGCTACCGCGATTAACAAAGACGAACTACGAAATTGAAGCATCCAAATGAAAGTTCTTCTCGGTTTTAAGACGCGTGGGAGGTGGTTGAAGAAGGTTTCGAAGAACCGAAGGATACCACGAGTTATATGGCAACGCAAAACAAGGCGTTAAAAGAATTACGATCAAAGGATAAGACAACATTATACATGCTATTCCGAGTTGTAGATGAGTCGGGCTTTGAGAAGATTGTCAAGGAAACTACTTCAAAAGAAGCGTGGGACACTTTAGAAAAGGTGTTCAAAAGAACCGACCGAGTCAAGCAAGTGCGTCACCAAACTTTGCGTGGCGAGTTGGAGAGCATGAAGATAAAGGAGTCAGAAAATGTATCTGACTACATTACACACATGCAGACTGTGACAAATCAACTAAATTGAAATGAAGAAATGTGCGGATTGTGGAGAAGATCCAGAGGTCATTAACCAACAACTTCGAGAATGTTGTATGTGCGATAGAAGAGTCAAAGGACCACGACGTTCACGGTCGATGAGCTCGCCGGTTCTCTCGAGGCACACGAGCAACGTAAGAAGAAGAAGGAGGAAACACTCGATCAAGCACTTCAAACCAAGGCATCAATCAAATATGAAAAGGTACTCTACTCTCAAAATTTTCAAGGTAGAGATCGTGGAAGTCGCAAAAATGGTCGAGGTGGTCAAGGCAACAGTAATGAAGGACATTACAAGGAGAAGAGACAGTTGAGCCAAGCAAATTGGCGTGGAAGATGACACAGTCAAGGAAGAGGCGGCTGATCAACTTATTCCAACATTCTGTGTTATAAATATCAAAAATATGGTCACTATACAAATGATTGTAACTCTGACAAATGTTACAATTGTGGCAGAGTGGGGCATGTTGCAAAAGATTGTTGAGTCGAAAAAAGGTAGAAGGAGCAACCAACCTAGCCTTGGAAGACGTAACAAATGAAGGTCTTCTCTTGATGGCTCAAAATGAAGACAACATAAACAATGACACTTTGTGGTACCTCGACTCAGGGGCAAGCAACCATATGTACGGTCATGAGTACCTATTCAAAGAGATGCAAACGATTAAAGATGGTCGTGTGTCATTTGGAGATGCTTCAAATGTTGACTTCTGGCAATTGAGAGGAAAACATCGATGAAGTAAAAAACGGCCGAAGGAAAACTTTTTCGAAGAAGAAAATAACTGAAAACAAAGGGAGAGAGAAATATTTGCCCGAATATCCCATGTTTTGTTTGTCACAATTTGACCTATTTAAATAAGAACCTATCCTAAAAATAGAAAAGAAAATGTCTACTGAATTACAGTCATTCCACTATGTGAATCTCACTAACTTTAATTACGCGGTTAACTAAAAAATATAACAAAAAAAAAAAAAAAAGGAATGATTTTCAACCTAGGGATTTATCTAACATCAAAGGTTGAGGTCAAAGGTCGAGGTATGATACATTTCTTACAAAAGGATGGTGTAATGGGGTCAACGAAAGATGTTTATTACGTACCACACCTCAAGACCAACATACTGAGTATGGGGCAACTCATAGAGAAAGGCTACTCGATATTCTTAAAGAACCGCCTGCTACACCTGAAGGATAAGCAAGGGTGTTTGGTTGCTCGAGTCGAGATAGGAAGAAATCGGATGTAGAAACTAAATTTAAGAAGCAGACGAGAAAATTGTTTGTGAGTCAACGTAGAAGACAAAGCATCACTGTGGCATCTCCGCTTTGGTCACCTATATCATGGCGGCCTAAAAGAGTTAGCGAAGAAGAATATGGTGCATGGGCTACCCAACATGGACTTTGAAGGAAAATTTTGTGAAGAATGCATGCTCAGCAAGCATGCGAGAACCTCAATTCAAAAATTAAGAAGGCAGAATTTTGGGCTGAACAACCTCTCGAGTTGATTCATACAGATACATGTGGACCAATTACCCCTGAGTCTTTCAGCAGAAAGAGGCATTTTATTTCCTTTATCGATGATTACTCACGAAAAACTTGGGCTTACATTCTGAAAGAAAAATCTGAGGCATTCGAAGTGTTCAAAAAGTTCAAAGTGATGGTGGAGAAGGCAACTGGTAGACACATCAAAGTTGTACAATCCGATAGAGGTGACGAGAATACTTTGAAGGCTTTCATGGAGTATTACGACGAGCAAGGCATAAGGCGATTTCTAACTGCATCGTACACCCCTCAACAAAATGGTGTGGTCGAGAGAAAGAACCGAACCATTCTCGACATGGTTCGATTAATGCTCAAGAGCAAAAGGATGCCAAAGGAATTTTGGGCAGAAGTCGTGCAATGCGCCATCTACGTACAAAATCGATGTCCACATGCGAAGTTAGATGATCAAACACCACAAGAGGCTTGGAGTGGACAAAAGCCTACAATCTCTCATCTCAAAGTGTTCGATAGTGTGGCTTATGCTCACGTACCGGATCAATGAATGTATATACTTGAAACAAAAGCAAAAGGTATATTTTTATTGGATATGATGAGAAGACAAAAGGATACAAGCTACTTGACTCGATAAGCAAGATGGTGATAGTAAGTCGCGATGTGTGAGTAAATGAAGCAAAAAATGGGACTGGAACAATTCGATGGAAGTTAATATCGAAGTTGGAGAATCATTAGTCGTTGCACTAACAAGTGCACCAACAGACTCACAAATTTTCATGAAGATGAACCATGACAACCCAAAATGCGAAGTTTGTGAGACCTTGTATGTCTTCTAGCAGATGTTGAAAATATCAGCTTTGAAGAGGCGGTGCGAGACAAGAAGTGGCAAACTGCCATGGAAGAGGAGATTAAAGCGATTCATCGCAACAATTCATGGGAGGTGATAGAATTACCAGAAGGAAGTCAGCCCATAGGTGTGAAGTGGGTATAAAGATGAATGCTCAAGGCAAGATAGAGCATTACAAGGCGCGACTTGTTGCAAAGGGATACAAGCAAAAGGCGGGAATCGACTATGACAAAGTGTTTGCTCCCATGGCTAGAATGGAGACAATCCGATTGCTCATTTCTCAAGCAACTCAATTCAAATGGGCGATTTTTCAAACAAATGTCAAGTCGACATTCTTGAATGGTGTGCTTGAAGAAGAAGTCTACCTCAAACAACCACCCGAGTACATGAAAATTGGAGAAGAGAAGAAGATACTAAAATTGAAAAAGGCGCTTTAGGGGTTAAAGCAGACACCGCGAGCATAGAATACTCGTGTCAATACACACTTCAAAGAGAACGGGTACAAGCAATGTCCCCACGAGCATGCACTTTACACAAAGAAAAGTGGAGGTAATGTGATACTTGTTGCTCTTTATGTCGATGAAATGATAGAAGAGTTTAAAAGCACAATGACACGAGAATTTGAGATGACAGACTTGAGATTGTTGAAGTTTTTCCTTCATTTGGAGGTTAAACAAGGAGAGATGGGTATTTTTATATCACAGGAGAAATATGCAAAGGAGATTTTGAAGAAGTACAAGATGAAAAATTGCAACCCAGTATCAACACCAATGGAACCAAGTGCAAAACTCTCGAAGTACGATGAAGAAGAACAAGTAGATGCAAATAGGTACCAGAGCTTGGTAGAAAGCCTTCGCTATCTTACATGCACAAGGC